TTTTAAAGCGAACACTTCCTCCGGGGTCAGGGCCCCACTCGGGAGCTTGTAAAAATCAAACCTGTTCTAACCAACCAAAAGGACTGGGCTCACAGCGGACTCGGGACGCGAGACAGTCACCGAGGTTTTAGCATTTGAGGGCCCAGAGAGCCATTGCTTGCCAATTCCCAGCAACATAGGAACCGGAGAAAAGAAAATGCGGCTGAGAGGGCTCGGCGTTTGCGCCGTTCGCGTGTGTTTGCCGCAGTGAGCTGCCGCTAACAAAAGCTGCTGTTTAATGAGCGCTTACTTTGTGCTAGGCACTGTGTTTCAGGTTTATGTCTATGTTCTTGCACTTCATGCTCGGGGCAAGCCTTTGGAGGACCTGACTAGAAATCCTACTATTCCCTTTCGACAAAGGAGAAAACTGAGGCTTAAGGAGGTTAGGTATTGAAAGACCTCCCCTGCACATGAAAGGGTTACGAATATTAACCAAAATCCCCTCAGTCATTCAATGGTATTCTGTACCACCCACTTCGAACATGGTGCTGTGCAAAATCAGCTGACTGTAATGGGCGACACAAACCTGAATCGATTAAAATCTGTGATAAGGCAAATAATCGTCCCTAAAATGGAGGGAGCCTCCGATGGGAGAGCTTCTGTTTTAGGTAAAAATAATCTTAGAATGAGCTACCTTGTTCTTTGGCTATTGTAATTATCATTACATTTTTTATTTTGATAAGCTTAGGGACTTTGTCCCGTTTTTTAAAATTCTCCATTGCTTTTGCAGCCATAGTTTCCATTCTTTGTGTATTACTCCGCTCTTGCCTCGCCCAGGACATCTCTCTGCGATTTTAAACCTGGGCTATTGCAACTATTTGGTTTATACCCCTATTTAGATTTTTTAACACACCAAAAAAAAAATACTGATTTCTTCTAAGGCAAGCTTTTTCCACATCCCAGTCTTGGAAATGGTGAAGGAAAACCTATTATACATTAACCCAGCCGCCATGACATAATGTATTTCACAAATGCGAAGACACACATTTTTCACACTTTTCACATCTCAGAAATCAGGGTGCATTTTCCAAACTGGTCTCTTAATAGTACTGGCCAGGTGGCTGTATCAGCCTAGTTGTCATCATCTCCACATGCAGAAACTTGGATGTAGCTTTTCACATTGTCCTTATTTCCACTGAGTTAAGTGCATTGTTTAATAAAACCCACAACCCTAAGAGGAGGAAATTAACAGGCATAGGAGTCTCTTAAACTTGAAGAGAGCTTTTCCTAGGAAAAAAGAACAGACTTTCCTAGGACCAAAAGAGATTTCCTTCAGCACATAAAAAAGAGATGGGACTGGCCAAAAAGAGCTTAGACTTCTGAGAGACCTGAGTTACTCACCAAGTACATGAGTTCTTAATGCATTTTGGAAACCTACATCTGAACACTTAAATAAGCCTAACACACACACACACACACACACAAAGTGAAATGACTTAGGTATTATTTCTGATGGTATGGTTTGTCAATTACAACCCCTCTAAGTTTTGGTCAAAAAAAAATCATCCAAGAAGGAAAATGAGTCCTGTATATTACTGGGAAACCACCCATTGACCTCTTCTGGTTAGATCAGAAAATACCAGCATCGAAACCTGAGGAATAGGATCAGCTCCTTGGGGAAAAAAAAAAAAATCCTAGATTCAATAGTAGAGCACTCTTTTAAGACTTGATGCATCACCAACACTTCTGGTGGCACCGAAGACAATACTGTATGGAAAACCATAGGCATCAACAACTGATTCAAAAAGTGACTTAGAAAAGTTGGGTTCCAGGGGCACCTGGGTGGCTCAGTTGGTTAAGCGGCTGCTTTTGGCTCAGGTCATGATCCCAGGGTCCTAGGATCCAGCCGCATTGGGCTCCCAGCTCAGTGGAGAGTCTGCTTCTCCCTTTCCCTCTGCCTCTCCCCCTGCTTGTGTTCTCTCTCTCTCTCTCAAATAAATAAATAAATCTTTATTAAAAAATAAAAATAAATTTTAAAAAGTTGGGCTCTGAATGCAAAGAAGTTTTTGAAATCCCTTAACCAATCTTACTTATATTTCCCTTTATATGCATGCACAAGATTGGTACATACCAAATCTAAGTCTGAAAGGGCTATTTCACTACATAGGAAATAAAAATACTAAATTATAAAAAATCAACGTGCTTTAGTTGACAGCATTTTTTTTAAGCATGATACTATCATATAAAATTCAAGGAAGTATCATCCTACATCAGATTAGCAGTCCTTCCAGACTAGATTTCTGGCTACTGGCAATGGGTAGTTTTCTGGCAGAGCTTAATTATCTATAAGGTTAAGCTTTAAAATTTTTCAGTTCCCCACAATTTTATTAACCCATTACAGATCTAAACCCGATCAGCAAATACTTATTTAAAGGACACTAAAGGGGCGCTTGGGTGGCTCAGTTGGTTAAGCGGTCATGATCTCAGGGTCCTGGGATCCCGCCGGCATCCGATTCCCTGCTGGGTGGGGAGCCTGCTTCTCCCTCTCCCTCTGCTGCTCCCCCTGCTTGTGCTCTCTCTGTCAAATAAATAAAATCTTATAAATAAATAAATAATAAATGAAGACACTAAAAATCAAGGTTGGGTTTGTATGTACCCCATTCCTTCTCCAGGGAGAAGAAGGATCCTATATATGTGCTCTTTCACATTCTTTCTTAAAAGGATGAATAAAAACTGTTATTTCATGTCAGAAATCATTCCGATACTGCCTGTGTTTTGTAAGCTGTTTAAGCTAACATTAGGCTAACGTCTTAAGGAAAAAGGGAAAACCTAGATCTCATTCCTGAATCATAAAAGAATTTAGATTCTCAGTTTAGAGTTTGGTTTATTTTTCCCAAAATTTCTCTTACTGCACATCTACCTATTTATAGTCAGGTGATATCATTATGAAGCTTTTACCTATCATTAGCCTGGGCTTTTTTTTTTTTTTAAAGTAGGCTCCACCCCCAGCCTCGGGCTTAAGCTCAAGACCCTGAGATCAAGAGTCTCATGCTCTCTTGACTAAGCCAGGCAGGCGCCCCTAGCCTGGCATTTTTTATAAAAAGTATATAAAGAGTATGATGTCATCTTTTATAGAAAAGGATTCATTCATATGCCCCTTCCAAATCATAATTTAAAAATTAATAAGAATGATCACAAAATATCTCTATTCACTTTGTCTTGTTCTTGATTCTTCCCTGTAAAATAGTCCCCATCTTTGACAAAAATTTCATTTGAAAGGTAGAAGGCAGGATGGGAGTTAGAACAAGAAGAAACAAAGAGGTTCTTGAAAAAGGAATACAAGTGAAAGTGTGTAGCTTAGAGTTGCAGGGATATATGGTGGATACACGAGCCTGGCGGTGGATCTCAGTGTGGGGAGAAGAGTGCAGGGAGAGATCATGCAGATGAGTTAAATCCTCATCCATCATACAAGAATTTAATAATGGCTGAAATCGGCAAAGTACTACAGAGTAATATAAAACTTTTTTTTAAAGATTTATTTATTTATTTGAGAGAGAGAACACAAGCAGGAGGGACAGAAAGAGAGAATCCCAAGCAAACTCTCGTGAAATCGAGCCCTGTGTCGGGCTTATGCTCCGAACTCTGTGCTGAGCATGAGCCCGACACAGGGCTGCATCTCACGACCCTGAGTTCACGACCTGAGCTGAAACCAAAGCGTCAGATGCCCAACCGACTGCACCACCCAGGCATCCCGATATGTGTCTATTTTTAACTAAACATACAGATGATCCACCAGAACTAAAGACAATAAAACATTTTTTAATAGTTGCTTCTGTTTGTCAGGAGCAAAGGAGTGGCAGCAGGACAGGTGACCACAGCTCCAATATCATCATGGGTTCCCCCACATCAACTTAAAATTATGTGCAATGAGATCGAACTTCTTTGTTATACTCTTCCCATTCTATTCTTGCTTCAATCTAATCAAACCAACTCCTTCCCACTTTTACATTCTGTGGGTACACCTTAATACATCTTTATATAAAGACATCAATAGGGCAGAGTTTGACACAGTTTTTTCTTTTTTATTTATTTTATTATTTTTTAAGGTTTTATTTATTCATTTGAGAGAGAGAGAGAATATGAAGCAGACTCCCTGTGGAGCACAGAGCCCGACTCGGGGGGCTCCACCTCACAACCACAAGATCATGACCTGAACTGAAACCAAGAGTCAGCCGTTCAACTGATAATTATAAAAAAATTTACTCTTTATTTACTAAAAATATTATAAAAAATAATTACTATTGGCTTTTATAAGATGAAGTCATCAATATGAGAACTGTATTTTTGAGCCTTTCCCTCTATTTAAACTCCCAATTGTTGGGACACCTGGGTGGCTCAGTCAGTCAAGCATTTGCCTTTGA